GTATTTTCATGCTCACTGAATAAATCTAAAAATAGCAGGTGCCCTTGACCATTATCAGTGCATATGTGACATAAAAGTACTTACAGAAATAGTATCCTTAGTATACGTTATTTACTAGAAAGTGTGGTACGAAACGCTGTACATTCCAGGAAACTATTTGGGTTCACTTAATTTCAGCTGTTCGTGATATCAACCACTGAATAGTTAATAATTTTACCAAGTAACAGCCCTACGAGCAGGTAAGAAATACCATTTATAAATTAGATTTTACGCAAAGAGGACTGGTTTTCTCTCTTTTTTTTTTGGTAAAGAATAATAAAACATACAGTAACGTTTGACCAGAGCAATCGTACGCTGGAAATTTTATATGCGCGCTGAGTTTATAATTCACTTATTATAAATATATGCGTGATGTCAAACTGTTTTAATTTGTCTGAATGATTCAGACACCCTTATTACAACGTGGTTCGTATGTTCAAATTTCATTTTACACAGACACATCAATACATGGAACATATTGCGAGTTCCTTATTACGTGTTCTTTACGTAAAATTGTAGAAAGAAGACTTTAACATCATCAATGATTTAATGATTTGGTGTTAAAAGTAATAAAAAAAAGACTAACATGTTTCATAAGCAACCTTACTGCCTAGGTTTGGCACAGAAAACTTGTAAATGTTGCCAAAATGACAGGCTCCTAGTGCTACTGAACCAACTCAAAAACTAAGACAGGCAAATGATGCTAGATCAGCTATCTTTGCCATACGTTTCCAAGTTACTGGCTTGCAGTTTGTGGAAATAATATATTAAAGTTTAGTCTCTGGATTTTCAACACTAAATCCTATGGAACCTTTGTGAAAAGTACAAAAATAAACAAATGAGAAGCCCAATCTATCACTTGATACCCCATTTGCCACTGAGTCATACTGCTTCGGAGAACTCCACTCCTCATTAATCTGTGTAGGGTGTTTTTAATAAGTGCATTGTACATATGTTGTTTATGTGTGGGCTCTGTAGAAATCTCTGTGTAAAGTCTTTAGAAGTGAAGATTTACTTTCTTTAAAAACGTCTGGGTAAGATCTTTACACTAACAAGTACCATCTTTAGAACAGTTCATGTAAGATCTTCACACTAATAACTATCATCTTTAGAAGATTCCGTGTAAGATCTTTACACTAATAAGTATCATCTTTAGAAGATTTCGTGTAAGATCTTTACACTAATAAGTACCATCTTTAGAAGAGTTCATGTAAGATCTTTACACTAACAAGTACCATCTTTAGAAGATTTCATGTAAGATCTTTACACTAATAAGTACCATCTTTAGAAGAGTTCATGTAAGATCTTTACACTAATAAGTACCATCTTTAGAAGAGTTCATGTAAGATCTTTACACTAATAAGTACCATATTTAGAAGATTTCATGTGAAGATCTTTACACTAATAAGTACCATCTTTAGAAGAGTTCATGTAAGATCTTTACACTAATAAGTACCATCTTTAGAAGAGTTCATGTAAGATCTTTACACTAATAAGTACCAT